GACGGATAATGCGGAGGACTTTGCCAATCTATTCATTATGCACGTCTTCTCAAAGCATGGGATGCCCTCCAACATAACTTCAGACCGGGGCTCCCTATTCGTGTCTCAATTCTGGAGGGAGCTTTGTAGAGCACTAGGGATCGAATCCCGCCTGTCTACTGCATACCACCCCCAGACAGACGGACAAATGGAACGAGTAAACCAGTCTGTGGAAGCATACCTTCGGAGCTATTGCTCCTATGACCAGGACAACTGGGACCTCTGTTAAGATCATGTACACTGTGTAACCGTGCCAGAGGCCACCAGGTGTCTAAGTGCGGGAGGTCGAGTGGGACAGTAGTGAAGTTATTAACATCACCGCCGTTACGCTGTTAGTCCCCGGAGATCGAGAGTAAAGAAGGGAGGAGCTAAGTAGCAGCCAAGTCGGAGCGGCGGTATCGCTGGTGACAAGGAGCGAACCAAAGAACGTTTAAGTCCTAAGGTCGAGTAGAACGTACTTCAAGGCGTTGAGCCTGAAGACTTAGAGAAGAGCTAAGTTGGGAAGGGAGATCTAAGTTGATAATTAAACTGAGGAACTACAGTAGCGTACAGACAGTATTTATATCTACGGAACGGCGCATCGGTGCGGAGCGCCAGACTAACTACTAGGAGCTATACGTGTAGTACCTGCAGGGTAAAGTAAAAGACAATAAGGAGAGACTAGAACGGAAGGGTATGTGTAACGAGAAAGAACAATAAGGAGAGATTACAATAAACAGTGGATCTTCGGAATACCGAGCGGCGGAATGGAGGCCCGAGGCATGGGCTTGACAACCTCCTCCTACCAATGGCTGAATTCGTATACAACAACAGCCCAAACACGACGACGGGTGTCTCACTGTTCTTCGCCAACAAGGGATATCACCCAAAGTTGTCTATTACGCTGGAGCAAGTACAAGGAGCGGAGGTCAACGAATACGCGTCCAACCTCAAGGAACTACACGCGTACCTCCAGGAACGAATTCGGGTAGCTAACGAGGCCTATATGAAGTACGCGAACCAAAAACGCCAGGAGGCCCCGGACTGGAAGGCGGGGGACCACGTCTGGTTGAATATGGAAAACGTCAGGACTAGACGACCTATGAAGAAACTAGATCACAAGTGGACGGGTCCCTACTCAATTTTGTCAAAAGTAGGGAGTCATGCTTACCGACTGGACCTCCCTGGGGACCTCCACAAGATTCATAATGTGTTCCATGTAGACAGGTTGAAACCTCACTTCCACGATCATTTCAAACGATGGAACTTCCCACCCCCCCCAGTCTTTATAAAAGGGAAGACGGAACACTTTGTTGAAAGCATCCTAGACTCAAAACCAGTAAGGGGACAATCAGGAGAGATAGAATACCTGGTTAAATGGGAGGGGTACGGCGACGAATTCAACTCCTGGGTAGGATGGGAAGGTATGGTGGGCTCAATCGAGCTCCTACATAACTGGCACCAACAACACCCAAGGAAACGCCAGCCAACGCGTCTGCAATGGGCTTCATTGGAGCGGGAAGCACGGGAAGATGAGGAGGAAAGCCCGGAAGGCAGTAGGGAGCACGGGGAATGAATGAAGATAATGAAGACCCGATGGGGACGACAACCCCATGATATTCACGACTCACTAACGACAGCTTATAGCTTGCATCGGAGGGTTCATGCGACCTAGGTGCACCACGATTTCACTCTTATTGATTTTTCACACAGTATAAAGGATGCTCCCATTAATTAACGAAAAAAGGCAAAACAAAAAAGGAAAAGAGACAAGTTTAAGGTAGAGGACAAGTACAAAAAGGGATAGGTCGACAAGAACACTACATGAGGAACGGGAAGGTGCTACGACGATTCCTCCTTAACGATACCCTGACCCGCCGCCAGGTCGACAACTTCCCTCGTCACAGAAACCCGACCCACACGAGACTCCTCCGTTTCGTACAACTCATCATCATCGCCAGTAAGGTCGATGGCTAGGTTGGCGACGGATCCAAAGCGAGGGGGCAGAGTGGGGCAAGGAGGGGGAGGAGACAGGGAGGTTGGTGACTCCTGCTCAGGCAAGAACAGAGGGACTGTCATATGCATGCAATTCACCCCATACGCTTCCCGGCCCGTCCCGGAGCGGCCGGACTTCGGAATAATAACCTTGTGACCATCATTGTATTTATTTATTGTTCCGAGCTTTCATTGAGGTCTTCTGACTGTATTTGGGATGTATATAAGCTAGAATACTTTGTACATTGTAGTCAAGCTTGAAATCAAGTGTATCATCTTATCCCAGTCTTTAATATCTTCTTTACCCTTTGCTTCCGGACTCCCGGATCATCAGGAACCCCATTTAGGCTGCTCATACCAATCTTGCACTCTTGCCATTATATTCCCGGGGACACCAACAGTGTGTGAAGGGTGTTGCTAATAGCTTCACCGATGTCCCACTCCCAGTGTGTACTACAGGCCAGTACTCGGCTCCGGACCTCGGAGTTATCCCGGGCCATTTCCGGCCCATAGCCGACCTCAGAACCTCTATAGTTATTGACCTGTAGGCACGGTCTTGTCAGGGACCTGGGGATGGGAACCAATGGAAGAAGTGGATACCGGAACAACCGGCGCTTCAGGGGACTGCTCTACGACCATCTCCCCCAACGGTTCGGTAACCGGATCTACCGCAGACATGGGAGCTGGGGTATTCGGGCCAGGCAAAGGAGTGTCAGTGATATGATGAATGTATCGCAGCATCAACTGCTCCCAATCCGCAGTTAGCTGGTCGATACTGGGAAGGGCAGGAATGATATCGTCCCACCTCCCAGCACCGTCACTGTGAGGGAGAGGTGTGGACAGTGCTAACATGTGTCGGTGGAGAGGGGGTTCTAAAGAATCGCCGGGAGGAGGTGCGAAACCCGCATGTTGAGCAGCCGTAAGGAAAGGACCATCATTATCGAATCGGGAGTGCTCCAAGACCATGCGATAGAAGCCCTTGTCTTTGTCAACAGCGTTATTAAAAAACCACTGGATACTGCTTATGGATCGCATATACAGATCACTGTTGATACCTCAAGCTGCCTGCATGTAATCCAAGGCCAACCGGAAGTTATGCCCAACGACGTCAAGGTCATCAGAATCGAGACCACGACGAAGGAAGGCAACTACCGCTTCGATAATCGCCCCAATGTAACGGTGGTGATGATGGAGGACGGTCGTGGGATCCGAACGGTAAAGGCGATGAGCAAAAGTGGCGACGCGGCGGAGGTCCTCATGAGCCTTGTTAAGATCTCCCTCGAGTTGCAAGAGAGGGGGCAGGACAACCTCGTAATAACCCTCGTCAGGGTACTCCTTGATCATTCGGTCGACAAATGCTGCACGATCGCGAACACGATGGACCTCCTCTTGTAACTGCTCCACAAGACAACGTTGACGTGTTGCAAGAAGGTTAGACTCATCAACCAGACCTTGTTGATGCAGCAGGGTGGTCGTCAAATGCGAATTTTTGCGATTAGCAGTGGAGAGCTTCTCCACAGCGACCTTCTGCTCCTGGGTGGCATCTTGAAGATCTTGCTGCAACTTCCAGAAACGCTCCAAGAGACTCTGGGAAGAGAGTTAAGCAAGGAAGAAAGAATTAGAGGAAGACGAAAGACTCACTTGACCAGAAGTCCCCGGTAGGGCTTCATCCAACGCACGGAATTGATCCAGCACACCACGGTACTCCACTTCTTGTTCGCGGACCTCACAATTAGAAGACCGCAATTGCTCCACCTCCCGTTGTTGAGATTCGAGGGCATGCGAAGTGTCCCAAAGAGCGGAGGTAAGGGAGGAATTCTCCCGCTGCGAGTCTGCAAGCTGAGACTCCAACTCACGAACGCGAGCAGCAAGACGCTGATTCTCAGCACGGTAGGGGTGAGCCGTGAAAGTACGAGGTACCAAAGCAGGGCGAGGAGTGGGAGGCATAGGGGAAGAAAGGAGGTCTTGTCCGGCACCCTTTATAGGCGTTCAAGTAGAAGGGGAAGAAACAGCTTGTGGAACCAAACCAGAATGCAACTCCGCCACAGTTGCCAACCGAACCAAATCGCTGGGACCCTGCATTGGCAGGTCCCTGTTAAGTACCCCCATTAGGGAAGGGGAGGCAGGAGGGGGAACAGGAAGGGAAGTAAGAGCTACCGAGTGAACAGGGGGAACCACCAACTGAACACGACGGGGAGGTTCTGCATTCACCTCTACACCGCTAACCCGGATAAATAGTCCCATGATTAGGTCCTGAAATGCGAAATCCTTATTTGTGTAAAGACATAATAGCCACATCCATGGGACATTACCAGGACATTACACAAGAGTGCATACTTAGGATATGTTACAGTTCTTCCTTCGATGTCCTTTCTGATCTCAAGTAAACAAAGTCAATGTAACATTCATCTGCTGTCTCTCACATCATCGCTTCAATACTATAGCCCATAGTTATGTTTAAAATCACATATTATTGTTTCGGAATCTTCTCGCCGGCCGCTACTATGAGCTCTCAAAAGACCCAATACTTGGGAACAGATGGGTCCCAACAAGTGCACAGAGATCTCTCGCTATCCCTAGCGGCTCATGCTATCTTATTTGCCTCCGACCAATCTGATGCTACCGCTGGAGGGGTTTCCGATGCAGTAAAACGTGAACTTCGGGATGTTCAAGCACGTATTTTGAAGTTGCTGGAAACAGATGATGCCTCGCAGGTATGTGTGCTGTCGGTTTTGACCTTTTGTCTGTGCATAACCTACTGCTACAGGGGACCTGTAGCTGTGCTTTTCCCGAGCTATCACAAGACTCGCAGATACCAACTTCTGACCAGGAATTAATACGAATCATTGCCGATGCAATGTCTGACTTTGAACGGGACCAACAGATTGAAGATAGAGATGATAAAGGTTCTGTCACCGAGCCAGATACAGTGCGGCAACTTCCCGCTTAAATTTCTCATCCGTCTAATATTCATTCTCTAGGTTGATTCACCATACTCTTTTCTCGCGGCACCTGCTGATAAACGGACTCCGGGCTGGTACAGGAGCCGCCTCCAACTCTACTTGAACATCAAAGAAAATCTTGCTGATATATGGGTGCAGGAAATGTCGAGGGAACAGACTGTAGTACGCACACAGGTTGTTATTGAGCAACACATGCTTGAAGCTGTTGAAGCCCGAGCTGAGGCCAAGCAGAAGAGGATATTGAGAAACAAATTGGCCCAGGCGGCGCATGCACTCGAAGAACGTCTGAACCATAGTCGATTACAACCTACCTACAAGAATATATAATATCAATCTACTTCTTTCGCTTTCGTTCCTCTGGAGCTTGAACCTCTCGGTTGTCAGCTGTAGTAAGTCCTGCTCCTGAATTTTTGGCAGCTGCATTCTTCGCTCGTGTCTCTGCCGCTTTGCGATTTGTCTCGGCGCGTTTTTCAACCTGGGACACGACAAGTTTACCAGCTAATTCTCTGTGCCATTGTTTGCGATCAGGGTAGAGAGGGCGGGGTACTGTGAGATACCGAGGAAGAAATCTCCGGAGATGATGTGCATTGTGGAGCGCATGTGTATTTATGATGAACTTTTGGTCGTCAACATGTTGGATAGTTTTGACCGTAATATTCAACTGCTGTCGTTCTTGCTTTTGCTTTGTGGTACCTGATGCCTGACAATTTGAGCCTCGACAATCATGCTGCACATTCACAACAAACTGCAATGTCTACGTTGATGTTTTAAGTTGCTCCGGATGAATGCAGGAAGTAAACAGACCTGCGATGGTACAACAAACCTGCGTCCAGATGGACAGGTAACTGGCATGAGATAAGTTGGATGTAATGCCTCTAAGACTTTGAACTCTTCGACCACTATCAAACCTTGAATGTGATTGCCTTGTAGCAAAATATCTTGAATACGTGTGAGACAGGTGAACGTGTCCTGTGTTGACTGATCAAGGCCAACACCCTGTATACCAAAACATCAGCTTTATGTTGACATTGAAGGTAGGGAAATACCTCAGTGCGTACTTTATATTGTATGACACCAAAAGATCCAACTCGACATTGATCTCCAGACACAGCTGTGGTGTATATGCCATTTGTCCAGTCCTTCGAGCTTGAAGAGAGATCGACGTGACAGGGATTATATGCACCAGGAATTTCCATGTCGGAGAGGGACTTCAAAACCGTTTTTGCACGCGAGACCCGCTTAATGAACCCAGGGACCCACTCTGGCTTTGGACTCCATCCAAGATGCTTCTGGAAAATTGGAGTTTGACGAAGCAGTAAACGAACTTCATTTCCAGCCTGCACCCACCTCCCTTCACTGTCGCACCAATAACCTCCACTAACAAGATGTTTGACACATTCAAGGTCAGAGAACTTGTGTGCAATATCTCGACTGGGAGCTTGGTGATTACTCAAAACAGAGCACATTCGGAAGATTCCATTGAAGCATTCGTAGACCTCAGTGGAAAAGCGAGCTCCAGGTCCTCGACGCCGGATATTCGATGGAATATGAATGATTGTATGGAGCTTAACTTTGACTAGAATTTTTGAGGGATCGATACTGGCAAATGCATCCAGAACATTTCCGATGAGAACCTCCAGATCTGCCTAAATAATATTCAATTCAAGCAAATAGGAAAATAACAAAGGACATACGATGTACTCTTCCATATCAGCAATCTCGGATATCCATAGTAAAGCCCCAAGCTCTCCGGTGGTCCGCAGCAAAGTCATCTGTTCGGAGGTAACCAAGCCATGTACGTGAAATATCATAGTCTGCATCAATGTCTTGAAATGTTTTCCAATGAGTCCATTACGATATTGCATCATGTATGCCGCGCGAATTGGTGGGACAAGCAAACCATCAGTATTCGTACTTTGCAGACGAACCGTGAAGATGTCCTGCTGCTCGGGGCTCCATGATGAGTGTAAACCATGCCAAACATATTTCTCGGTCCCAAGCAGAATAGTGTGTAAAATTTCAACTAGTGTATCTTGTGAGGGATCAAAGACTGTAGATATAGTATCATCTTCAAACCTTAAAGAAGAAGAAGACGTGACTTACAATCAACATCAAGCAATGGGTTGTAAGGTTGGTCTGTCTGCGAGGCAAGCCACAGTAGCAGGATTTCGGATATATCTTCTTTGCTTTTTTCTGGGTTCTCACCCTGCTGTCTACGGGCTTCCTTGATGAGAATGTCAATCCAACGTTGTGCAATTTTATCTTTTGTGCCAGTCCTCGTCTGAAGCTCTTCAACGCGTGCAGATACACCATATGTTGCAAGTCGGATTTGCTCCAGCACACAATCACGAATTTCTTGAACACTACGAGGTTTTCCACACTAAAAGCATGTATAAGAGAATTTCACCTGAAGAGTTACATGGAATACTTCGTAAAAGTCATGATAATTTTCGACTGTTGCGTGGAATCCATTTTCGCCCCCTGCAAGGCATGACCGACACTTGCAATTACCACTGCCACCAATATGTGAACTTTCCTCAGCCTGTTGAGGATTATCTGCAGGGCAGTCTGGTATCACACCCCGGAGACTGCATGGCCGTTTTGTGGATGCATTAAAGCAACGAACAGGCTCTGTATGAGTAGATCTGCACATTTTTAGCAGAACAGGAAACAATGTTCATTGGCACTCACTGTAGCTGCTTGACGATTGGTTTAAATTGCTCCAGTGCACTGGCAAATGGTGAAGTGGAAACAAAATGAACAGAGTATTCATGCTGCAAAAACTTTCCAGGGAGGTTAGAAATCTGAGCGTAGGCATTGACATGCTTCTGGTATTGTTTTGAACGTGCACCCGACACATCGTCCATCCAAATTGCAAGCCAAACTGTAAACAAATCTTCACCGTTATCGATAGCCCGATTACAGTTGGGAATCTGGGATGCAAAGGATGAGAATGCTTCTTTCTCATCAGTCAGTACCACGAAATTTTGCATAGAAAACATTAATATACACACCCTCAAAGATCAACTCGCCTTTATTTAGTGCAACAAGCTCCATGTATGTAAGATGAAGCTCTTTCACTGATACTCGGACCTGGTCCATCTTAACAGTGAGCAGACCCTGGATATAGCTATATCAAGAAAGAAATGATAGGAAACAGAGAATACTGCATATACCCGTTCATTTTTGTTGACAACATGACAACTGGCAAAAATTTCCCCTGCCTGAGTGATCCACATCTTAGGAATTACCCACTGATGATCCTTCAGTTGAGCCACTTCATGAATATAGTGCCGTTTATTATCAACCAGAATGGATGGGGTAAGAAAATCGAGTGGAAGTTCCATCCATCGACCCTTTGGTACTTGCCACATTTCAGAAATGGGACTGCCATTAACATCCTCAGGATAAACATGAATCAGTGGTGCAACTTCAGGGTTTGCAAGATCCTGTCAATGGATGATACTAGGTTCAGTAAATATCCTAGGTAAGCTGGAAGTAAGCTTACCCGGGCCATTATGTCTCGGATATCTGTAGTATAAAATAGATTTCCAAAATCCGACTTCGAAGGTTGAACCCGAACACTACAGTCTTCTCGGATCTTCTTCTGTGCCTGTCAGAGTGCTTTGAATGAGGGAACATCTTTTGCACCACATGCACGCATAATCCACAGGAAGATCTTCAATTGGCTTGATGAAAGTCGCAAACGAGGAAGGTTATCAAGGATATCAAGATAACACATCTTGAAAAGACATTATGGATAATAAAATCAGAAAAATATTGCATAATGGGCTCACAGTTTTGTTTTCATATGGGGTCCAGTCTGAAGTTCTTGTCACACCCACAAAGAAATCAGCCACTTCTTCTTCTTCAGCTTCCTCGTCATATTCTAAAAAAAATTAAGCATCTTGGGTTCAAAATGAGAGTTTATATACCTATAGATTGAAACTCATTTATCACAGATGGAACTGTTGCATCATTGGAACTATCCAGATACACCTCCTCCAGTGCAGACATGCGCAATGCTGCCAACTCCTTGGCAAGAAGTTCATCTTGAACTTCCTCCGTTACTACACTGGGGGCAGAAAAATAATGTTCAATGTCCTCTGATGACATGCACATATCATCTGGACCAAGACCATTGATATCGACTGATGCTGATGGAGAAGAATGGTGTGGAGGCTTAATTATTGAGTTTTTCAATGCAACTGAACTGGATGAGAATAATTGTGTAAGGTTTCTACTTCGCTCTATATCAACTAAGCGGCGCCGCTTCAGTTCTTCTATTGCTTGAGAGTGGATTCTTGACTTTTGATGAGCTCCAGTAAAATTGGTGCGGGTTGTCCATGTAATATCGTTGTGAGGATAAGCTTCCCGGCAAGTTTTACAGCTGACCTTTCCTGTTATGCTGTTGACAAAAGCCTCTGTATGCTGAATGAGAAATATATTAACTTGAACAATAGTAGATAAATTACCGGAGCTTATGTCGCGTGGAGGCATGAAAAGAAAGTTAGAAATAGTTAAACACGCACTGGGATGCTGACCGTGATTCTTACATAATTCAACTTCGAAAAAATCAATTTTGAACTGTCTGTCTCTCACTCTTTTGACACACAAATGGACGTTGATTCCATTGGAGAAGATTTAGACCCATATGTCATTGCCGCGAGGCAGCGCATTGAGGAACAACAAGCCTCACTTGCCTTGGCAAATACAAATGCTCCCAGACTTGAAGACAACTCAGGCTCAATGACACTGACATTCTCATCCGATTTATTCAATGCAGGTACTGTGCGCCGCCGGACAGATAGTGACCCTCTCCCCCCCCCAGGATTCGAGTTCGCTTCCCAGGCCCCAATTATGTTCACCACAGACCGCGGAAAGGAGCTCTTGAATATGAGGAACTTGTCGCCAGAGTCAGTAACTCAGGCCGAGGAATTCTTGAGGGTAAGTTGGTCATTACTCACAAACTTCTTGCGGTGATAGGCTTACATGTGTATGGAGTGTCCGGATACAGTAGAGAATATGTTTCGGCTGTATTTGAATGTTCTCCAGAATCAGGACATGTTGCGCATCATGTTTAAGGACAGCGCGCTGAAATACAAACCAACAGAAGATGTCAAGGTATGTACGTGCCTATATTTGGTCATGCTTCTAACTTTCATTGTAGAAGACGGCCATAGATTATGCAAACCTGTTCCTGTGCTCTCCGACAGTTTTTGCCTATAAGCATGACTCGTTACCTCAAAAAATTGTTGTAAGTCCACTTGTTTGCAATGGGCAGAAGATCCCTTCTCAATTTTATCAGGATACTATGCGTGAAATGAAGATTTCGGACTTACCACCAGCACATGAAACCGGGCGCTGTAAAGTTATTTCAGCTGAATGCGGAGGAGCATTGATTCATGGCCGGCATGCTATCAAGGAAAAGGTTCGTGGTCATTGTATACTCACATCATCACAAATAACACATGGTCAGATTAGTGCGAGTATTGGTCCAAAGACTGACATTGCAATTTTGGTGCGACAGATCATACAGGGAACAAAATCTCGTCCGACACTTGCATTATACATACGGATTGCATTTCTGGTCAGCCTCGACCTTCATTTCTGTCCATTGTAGGGCCTATCTAATGAGCAAAAACTCCAGCGACGCGTGTTCATTGACACCGAGGATGCAAAATTGAAGCAAGAGAGAGAAGCAGCTGAGAAGGCCTCTGAGTCAACAGGGGTTGTAAGCAAACCAAGGGAGATGACAAAGAAAAGAAGAACGAAGAACAGACCTTGGACGACTTTTGGGGGATAGTGGACAAGAAGTTGGAATCTTACCGGACCCAGGTTCCAGACACGGCCATAAGATTCGAGTACGTTGTGATCATATCATCTGCCCACCAGGCCGCTTCTGATTTTCTCGTTGCACAGGGTATACAAAGGGATTTATGATGATGATGTTAAGCTTTTCCCGCGGGATAGTTCATTGGGGGCAGATCTTGTTGTACGCGAAAAGGATGTTGAGCCATGGATTCTCAGTATTCAAGCTCGTAGTCAGTATTTACCCTCATAATAAATAGCATTTTCGATCCTCTCTTGATCTCATTTGTTAATTGCATTGATATTGATTCTATGAATTTAGAACAGTCTCGAGAGATTCTGAGAATTTCTGAGAACTATCACAGGTAATGTCTCCCTCAGGTGGACATTGATGTTCTAGAGACATCATTCACTTGACGAGGCAACACAAAGATGTCAGTATCATAGGTATCCCTGAATTGGACAGTTGGGCCGGTGTCAAATATTCTTAATGACGAATGTTCAAATGATATCGAGGTACATTATGGCAACATTTGCGCCTGATTATCCCAACAATCACTTCCTGATATCAGACCAACATCCTACCAGCAGCGTGGTGTACTGCAGGGGACTTGCGACGAGAACGTTTTTTGGGAGCATCTGACTGAATCTTCTTGCTGGAGGGACCAGCCACAGGCATAGGGGAACGATTGCGCTTACGTTTAGCTGCGACAGCTGCTTTGTTCTGTTGCAAGGCAAGAAACTCCTGCAACTCTTGCTGGTCAGCATTGACCGCGTCCTGCTCGTCCAACATATTCAGCTCGAGAAGGATGGAGGTGGAGGAGGTACGCGCATGAAGTGCAGCGTCATATTCACGCCAGGCAGTCAATGGAATACCCCAAGTCGATTTATGGGTAGGAGTTCTGTGGAGCTCCAAGAATCTTTGGCTGTAGGCAAGATCTTGATTACAGCGACGGGCGAAATATCTGTATCGAAGAATCTTCCCCAGACTGCAAGTCTTCTTGGACGAGCAGTTCGTACACCGAGGGGAATTCGGCAACACCTTACATTTCCCCGGGGTCTTCAGGCAATTGGCACAAGGAGATGCTACCTCCGCTAAAAGAAGCCATAATGGGTCATCCTGACAGTAAGCCGACAGTGGTTTGCCAGTGTTGAAGACTGTCTCGAACAGTTGGAGCTGCGGATGAGACGGCGACTCGATCATAAAAGCTAGCTGGTCAGTCTCGACCTCCCCATTGGATTCAGGACCTGGGGAAGGTACCTCCCCCAAAGCGGTAAGAGTGGGTAAGGAAGGAGACGGAGTGCGAGAAGCAGGACGAGCAGGAGTAGAGGACATTGCAGTTATAGGAGTTTAACCCATAAAACTGAGGTGGTGAAAGAAGGGGGAAAGGAAGAATCTGACGGACTTCAACAAGAAAATTTTGGGGACCATGTGAAGGTCAGGTGACTTCCCGGAAAACGCGCCTACCCTTCGCGAGGGCGCAAAAGGGTTACAAGGGGGGGTAATGTCATGCCCTGGCTACAACCAGACCTGCCCCAGTACCAGCCATCACCTCTTATTTACTCCTACACCTTCCTATACACCTCCCCGATTCCCAAACACCACCACGCACCTCCCCAACTATCACCATTCCCCTGACATACCTACCCAAACGTCCCGACTCTCACCCCGATACGCATACAACACCCTCCTAATAGCCAACCCCTTTAAGTACTAAATCTCGATTACCTTCCTCCCTAGATTAGCTGCCTCATGTTCCAGATGTTCTCTTGTTCACTTCCTGTACCTACTTAAGTAGCGCTGCAACGTCCAGAAGCCCCAGCTTGGTATATTTTGAACACACACCCTTTTGCATAGGTCCAGTCCCTGTCCCTTTGTACCTGCTAACCATACGGATTTCTCTTTACACTCTGTTTCTTTATCTCTGTTTCTCTCAACTCTTGTCTCTCATATCTACGATTGTCTCTACGATCCAATACACACTTTTACTTCACGTCTAAGCAATCCGAGTGAGTCTCCGAGCTCCCTCGAACAATACTAAAGCTCCCCAGCGCCTAATGCCTTGGTGAGCTAACCTCCCCAAAACCTCCTTGAGCTCCCCACTTGTCCCACAAGTTCTGGGACCTCAATCTAGGTAACGTCGAAGCTACTCCCTACGTCGAACTACATGCCGCTTCTCCATTACTACCTCCAACACTCGAGGACGTCCACCTCTAACCCCCAGTTCCCGGGACCTCCCCTCCCGGGTGTCCACCTCCTTAGGAGCTTACACACTCAAAACCTATTCTCTCTATGACCTATTCAATCTTACGTTGACGTTCTAGCGAGTACAACTCCTCCTACGCAACGCTACTAGGTTTCGTACCTCCACTTCCTCTACCTACGCCATAGGGACCTCCCTGGACCTTACAGGAACCCCTTCAAGGGTCACATCTCTCAATCCCAGCCACTACTAGGTCATTCCCGTCCTCGGTCGCGGTTTTCGTAGCTCCCTTCGAGCTCCAGCCTGCTCCTAGCACGCTACAACATAAACTCTTCATACCAAAACCTACCTTAAAGACCTATTCTGACCCAGGTCTTACACGTCCGAGTCCCATGAGCTTGTCTTGGCAGACTGCTTCCAGATGTCCTCGGCGTCCACAGTAATGGCAGGTGGTTTCTTGGTGTGGGCAGTTTTGCTTGACATGACCTTGGGCACCACAGCCGAAGCATCGTCCTCGCATGCGAGCTAGGAATGCCTCCCTAGTATTCCCATTACTAGTGTGGGTTGCATCAATGTCCATAGCATGGGGGTCAGCAGGGGCAGTGTGAGCAGAGTGTGTGGGAGCGTGTCCAGAATTTTGGCCAGTCATGGTGGGGTCGTGCATGTAGCTGTCCACTGATATGGCTCATTTGATTGCCTCCTTAAGAGTCGGAGCAAGTCCTTGGGTGATGTTTACAATGATGAGATTTTGTCGGATCTCCGGAAGTAGGGCAGTGAAAAAGTGTTCCCATAAATCAATGTCAGACATTTCAGTCTGATCCTGTCAAGTCCATGCCTCGGGCCTCCATTCCGCCGCTCGGTATTCCGAAGATCCACCTTTATTGTAATCTCGTTCTTATTGTTCTTTCTCGCTACACATACCCTTTCATTCTAGTCTCTCCTTGTTGTCTTTTACTCTACCCTGCAGGTACTACTCATATAGCTCCTAGTAGTTAGTCTAGCACTCCGCACCGATGCGCCGATCCGTGGATATAAATACTGCCTGTACGCTACTGTAGTTCCTCAGTTTAATTATCAACTTAGATTCCCTCTTTGATCTAGTCCTCTCTGAAGTCTTCAGGCTCCTCGCCTAGAAGTACTCTCTACTACAACCTTAGGACTTAGTTCTTTGGTTCGCTCCTCGTCGTCGGCGATACCGCCGTTCCGACTTGGCTGCTACTGGCTCCTTCCTTCTATACTCTCGATCTCCGGGGACTAACAGCGTAGCAGCGGTGTTGTCAATAACTTCACCACTGTCCCACTCAACCTTCCGCCCTTAGACACCTTGTGGCCTCTGGCATGGTTACACGGTGTACATAATCTTAACAGATCCCCAATATCCTTGAACTTCTGAGCAAATTCCGCAACTGTCTGACCTTTACCTTGCTTGAGATTTTTGATCTCACTGTGAGCTTCCATACCCGGGTCTACTGACTCAAAGCGCTGAATGAACTCTTTCAGGAACTCTTCCCAAATTCCTCCAAAGGGGAATTTTCCGCATTGAAATGTAGCAAATGTGGGGTTGCCCGGTCACCCGCACTTTCAGTGGAGAACCCTAGGGCTGACTTGATAAGCTTTGCCTGACTCTTGGTGAGATCAGGTTGTTCCGATGCCCAGTTCTGGAACTGAGACATGAAGCAACGCGCCTCAGCACTATCTTTACCCTTAAATACCTCAGGTTTATTCATGCTTGACCTGGCAAATGAACGTTCCTCCATCGCAGTGGCTAGGTTGGCTACCTGTTTAATAAGCTGTGCCATGAGGTTGTTTGCAGTGGGTGGTGTAGGGGCAGGTTGAGCAGGTTGAGCAGGGTCAGACATGATTGGAGTGGGCAATCAGGAATGGGGAATTGGCAGGAAGGTTGTATTGTCTGCAGTGAATGGGTTCTGGACTGAATTGGAAAGTGCATGGGGGCAAGGCTGGGAGTCACAGTCACACCAGGTATTGTCAATCTGATGGACATGGTGTTGATCTCTGGAATCGAGTGCGTGTTGGAGGGCGGAGCAGTCTGTTGTAGCAGTAAGAGCAGAAGGATCTACGGGTATAGAAGACATGATGTATGTGGATCCTGCAAGGACAACCTTATCAGTAGGCTGTCAGTGCAGTAATGGATCTTGACCTAATGTCATGAAGCGGCAGAGGCAAAGTGACTAAGCAAGGCGGTGAGGCGGAGCAACTAAGCAGAGCGGAGGCAAACTGGTCCCAGATCATGACAGAGATATATTGAGTATCACAGTCATAGGTAATAATAAGTAAGCACATACCTGGTCCCAGATAATGAAAGAGAGGTCAAGATAAGGGACCAGGCTGTGAGGGACTGGCTTTATATACATAATCCAATCCCCAAGAAATGACGATGTAATACTGTACAGTTTAGGAACAAGAAGGTGGCGGAAGCCAGTAGAAGGCAAAGTGTCACAGGTGGATCAGTAATCGATGGGATTTGACAGTGATGTAATCATACAAGTAAGGGCGTCGAGACAGTGAGAAAAGGAAAATGATAGGGGCTACGTACTTCATGACACTGTTGGCCTTTGTGGAGAATTGGAGACCTCACTAGGGGAGGTCCCCCTCTGGCTCCTCACAGTGGCCACCACCTCCTCTTGTTGTTGAGCCCAGATGGCCCGATATCATGCCTCTTGTGCTGCCTTCATTCTAGCTGCTGCGGCTAGCGATGCTGCTACCTTCTTCCTCTCCTCCTTCTCCGCTGCCTCCTTCTCAGCCTTCTTCCTGGCTGCCTCCTCCGCCTTCTGTGCTTTTACCCTCTTGATTCTTTCCTGTGCCTCCCTCATGATCCACTTCTTCTTCATCAATAGGGGTGCCAGGGTTCGGGGGGTCGGCGGGGCAGGAAGAGGTGCTGGCAGAGGGATTGGTAATGGTGGTGGTGATGGTATGGCTGTTCATCATTCTGAGGATTTGGAAATTTTCGGAAAGAAAGTTGGGCCTTTTATACCCTTCAAAGACCAAATATTAGGTTTATTCAATTAAACCTTTTTGGATTTAAATTTTCCACAACTAATATTTTGTTGATGGGATCAATCTTTGGTGATGTCAGCTTTTGAGGGCTCAAGCCTAAGAGGGGGATACTGTCAAGTCCATGCCTTGGTAACCCTGCTCCACCACTTGGTACTCCGAGATCTACCATTTATTGTAATCTCTTCCTTATTGTCTTTCCTCGCTACACATTCCCTTTTTACTTAGTCTCTTCTTTATTGTCTTATTTTTGACCCTGGAGGTACTATACATATAGCTCCTAGTAGTTAGTCTGGCGCTCCACTCCGATGTGCCAATTTGTAGGTATAAATACTCTTGTACTATACTGTAGTGTCATGCCCTGTCCCTAAAGCTCCCCTTGTTTACCCTCCTAGACATCCCAGAACTGCTTACCAGTTCTTCTGCACCTCCTAAATAACCTCCCATGAACCCCCCATGAACCACGGAACCCTAGCCAACCTCCCGACCAATACTAACCTCCATCTGAAGCAACAGTCTCAAGACTCGCATATGCCTTCAGACAATCCCCTATCAATTTAGCCTCATGGGCTCTGCACTTCACGCCATCCCCATTAGATGCTTGTTTATTACAATGTCTCTTTACCTATTCATCCCACCTATATAAGTATCCTTGGTAACATAAACGCACCCAGCTTGGTATATTTTGAACACACACCCTTTTGCATAGGTCCAGTCCCTGTCCCTTTGTACCTGCTAACTATATGGATTTCTCTTACTCTCTGTTTCTTTATCTCTGTTTCTCTACTACTATCTCATCTCTACGGTCATTTAAACGATCCAATACACACTTTTACCTCACGTCTAAGCCAGGACCTTCTATGAACCTCTTCAAAGGCCAACTCCTTCAATCCGAACTACTCTTAGGTCATTCCCGTCCTTGGTTGCAGTTCCCGTAGCTCCCTTCGAGCTCCAGCTTGCTCCTAGCACGCTACAACATAAATTCCTGATACCAAAACCTACCCTAAGACCTATTCTGACCCAGGTCTTACATGCAGTTCTTCAGTTTAATTATCATCTTAGATCATCACTCTCTATTCTCTGAAGTCTTAAGGATCCTTCCCTTGAGTACTCGCTACTCTGACCTCAGGACTTACAGTTCATTGGTTTGCACCTTGTCGTCAGTGTTTTTGCCATTACTGACATGGCTGCTACTTATGTCCTTCTTGTACCTCTCTTCTATTATCCTTCCCCAGGGACTAACAGTGTAATGGTGGTGTTGTTAATAACTTCACAACTGCCCCATTTGACTCTCTGCACTTAGACACTGAATGGCCCTTGGCATGGGTTTCTAGTGTACATGATCTTAACAACATGATTTTAATAGCTAGTGTTACTACAAGGTTAATAGGTTGAACCAGAGGTAGAAGGCATGCACTCTTGAGCCTTGATCAATATGTTGCCAATATAGTACGTGGCAATGTGAATTGCATTAGCAACACCCGCAATGCTAAGCACCCACTAAAAACCATTATCAATAAAGGACAAATGTCCACTTAAAATGTCTAACCTCAGTAGAACCAGGTAACACACCCTCACCACAATACACATAGTAGTAGAAAGAATTTGGCCAGACTTTTCAAGTCTTGCATGTGATTAGTGGCTGTGCAAAAAGCGCTAAAGCTCAGCATTCTGAGCTTTGGCACTGGATTTGACCAGTGGCTGTGTTATTAAAGCGGAAATCAACACTACAAAAAATTATGTGTTTGTCCCTGCTTGGTCCAATCATTCCAATTGGCTAGACAAATTTTGTCTTAACATAAATGCACGCGCGTCGTGTAGGGTTCAATTGACATCACAGGCGAAGGAAGTGGGCGGAGCAGAGCGACGCCCCGAGCGTAATTAAGCTGTGCATCGCACAGGTTACTGCTAGTTGAAAAACAAAAAACAGCTGACTCATGGCTGTGCAAAAAGCGCTAAAGCTCAGAATTCTGAGCTTTAGTGCCGGATTTATGCACCTGACTAGTGGCTGTGTCATCAGAGCGGACATCCACAGATGTTACATAACCAACAACAGCTTTCTTTTTCTCTGCCCTCATGTCACTCATAGTCCCCCCATGGCTCAGGGCCAAAGTCCAGGCACTCTCTCTGTTCTTCTCAAAGGGAGTTACAGATGCAAAGGAGGATGATCAAACCTTACAAGTGTGCTAGGACTTCTGTTTCCCACTTGAATTCATTCTCACCCAGATATTCAGCCTTTTGCAATAGCTATATATACTGAACTCCAAGAAAGAGCAAATAGTAAGACCTGGAGGAGATTCCTGAATCAACCATGGACCACACCCACCTTCACAGAGCAACAGTGGCTTTTTATATGCCACCCACTGTTCCATATCAACCTCTTGCACCTACTAAAAGATAAGAAACATCAGCTCCTCAATCTGGGAACAGAAAAGCACCAATTAGCCCAAGTCCCTCCTAGTGCAGTTGATAAATCTGTAAGTGGCACAGAATACTTTATGACCTACTCTGTAATGCTTCATTATTCCCCAAGTTTTGTCCTCTTACTCATGGGGGTGGATGGAGAAGTATGGTGCAAAAAGCTAATTCTGCCCTTGAAAAACACCAAGAACACCAGCCACATGCATCACACCAATCCTCAGATCCTTTCCTCCAAACTCTAGATGATCTGTTCATGCTGTTTGAACAACGAGCATATTCCAATGTTGCCATCAACATTAGCCTAGTGGTAATTTATATAGGACTTTGCAGACATGTGCAGTATTATTCATGCCTTGGGAAATCCAGTTACTAACACAGTTCCTCCATGTAGGGAATTCTCAGTTTCCCCAATGACTTCCAAGAGTTTTCAGAGAAAGTTACTCAAATGTTTGCAGGGCTTGCATTTTTTGAATTAATATTCTCAAGAATTTACTACAACACACTCTAGGTCTGCCCAAGTGATTCTCGATAAACTCCGATGCTTAGAACCTCATTATAATGCCCAGAAATGGCTCCATCCTGCCCATGCCTGCTTCTCCATTTCACCTCTTTATTGTTTCAAAACCTCGGCACTTTTCAAAGACAGTTAGGTAATTGGAGAATATATTTTACCTTTTCCCATTAATCATTAGGTATTTTAGGTTGCTAAAGCACTAGGCCCCTGCAGACCAGACACACTTGTTAATCTGGAGACAAAGTGGATGAAATTGAAGACTAGGAAGCTGAGGAGTCACAGACTGGAGACTCCGCTGATGATATACCCCAAGGTAATTATGACTTTAGTGAATAGAGTTAGGTCTCTAATTTATTCATTTCAGAAATGGATGTCATTAGGGACACATGTTAAGATCATGTACACCAGAAAGCCATGCCAAGGGCCATTTGGTGTCTAAGCGCAGAGAGTCAAATGGGGCAGTGGTGAAGTTACGAGGCTGTAGTTTACGGAAGTATCGTCCTTATGTACGGTACTCCATACAAAAATTATTTCCCTTTATGGCAGTAGTTTCGCCTTATTTGGCCAAATGTAACACTGAGTTGAATTGTATTGAATTCTTGTGACCGGCACGGGATATCACGGGACTGTGACTCTGTCACAATTATTTTTTCTCGCCTCACAGCATCTCACTCAGTTACTCCCTGCTACTCTATAGATACTGTAATTAATGTAAATTTGCTTTTATTTCATTATTAAAAAACATTCAATGTCGGCGCCTGTAAGGCGCCCCGTTTATTTGATTCCATAATATTCAATAACCTGGTGCAGTGGCCTGCAATCGCATGTTATTAACAATACCACCATTACACTGTTAGTTCCTGGGGAAGGATAATAGAAGAGAGGTACAAGAAGGACATAAGTAGCAGCCATGTCAGTAATGACAAAAACACTGATGACAAGGTGCAAACCAATGAACTATAAGTCCTAAGGTCAGCGTAGAGAGTACTCAAGGTAAATGCCTTAAAACTTCAGAGGACAGAGAACAATAATCAAACTGAGGAACTACAGTACAGTACAGGAGTATTTATACCAACTAATTGGTGTATCAAAGTGGAGTGCTAGACTAGTTACTAGGGGCTGTATGTATAGTGCCTTCAGGGTAGAGAATAAAACAATCAAGGTAGACTAGAGAAAAAGGGATTGTGTAGCAAGCAAGAACAATAAATGGTAGATCCCAGAGTACCAAGCGCTGAGGCATGATCCTGACAATACCCCCCTCTTAGGTTTGAGCCCTCAAAAGCCGACATCACCAAAGATTGATCCCATCAACAAAATATGAGTTGTTGAAAATTTTAATTCGGATATACCTGTGGGCCACTGGTTTAATTAAATAAACCTCATATTTTGATTTTGAAGCATATAAAACACCCAGGTTTTTCCCACTGTAGACCTAACTTTTTCCCAAAAATCTTCTAAGTTCATAATGGTGACCACCAGCCATACTATTACTACCACTACCAGCACCATCTCCACAGCTAATCCTTCATTGTTGCACCCACCAATCCTGCTGATTATGAAGACAAGGAGGAGTGGATTATGAGGGAGGTAAGAGAGAAGATCCACAGGGTGAAGGAGAGGAAGGCAGAAAAAGCCTAAGGATGAGGCTGCGAAGAAGGCAGCTGAAGAAGAAAAAAGGAAACAGGCGGCAAGGAGAACATTGTGGAACAGAGAAGGAAGTCAGCAGAGGCAGCTACTGCAAGGAGCCAATGGGGTACTTTGCCAGGCAAAGTTTTGGTGTTCCCAAGTAAACCGATAGTTGAGATCACAAAGGCCAGAAATGATGAGGGGAAGGGGCAAAGCCAGAACCAAGGTACATGATCAGCAGTTCCCTTGTAGTACTTTTGTTGACTTGTCTTTCTGTACCCTATTGGTGGAGATCTGTCACGAAGCGGCAGAGGTGGAGTGACTAGCAGAGCAGGAAAGCAGATTGACTAAGCAAGGCAGTGAGGCAGAGTGACTAAGCAGATCAGCAAGGCGGAGCGGAGGCAAACTGGTCCCAGATAATGACAGAGAGGTCAAGATAAGGGACCAGGCTGTGGAGGGTTGGCTATATATACATAATCCAGTCTGCGAGAAACAACAATGTAATACTGTACAGTTCAGGGGCAAGGAAGATGGTGGAAGCCGATAGAAAGAGAAGGTGGGTCAGGTGGATCAGTAATCGATGGGAGTTGACAGTGATGGGATGATGTATTGTACAAGTAAAGGTGTCGAGACGGTGAGAAAAGGAAAATGATAGGGGCTGCGTACTTTATGACATGACCCCCTCCTTATGACCATTGCCCTCAATGGTCAAGGTTTTGCTGCTGTCGGATGTTTTTTGTAAAAGGCTCAAATAATTTTTGGTGCCCGACTGAGGTTGGGTGCAGGTTCCCAAGAGTTGTGCCTTGCGTCGTAACCTTTCGACTTAACTAAATATTTCAACTTCTTCCATCAAACCCAACTGTCTAAGATCTCCTCTACTTCGTATTCCGGTTCATCTTCATCCTCTAAGTATACCGGCTCTGGTGGTGTTGGTATTTCATTGTTAATGGGGTTACCTTTCCAGGGATATAGTTTGTCAGCATGGAAGACGGTGACACGCCTAAATTTTGGCTAGACGTCTATGCTGTGAATTGTGACATTTTCACGTATAGATTTGTATCAAGAGGACTGTAATTGAGACCCAGATTGACAGTCAAAGTCAATACTGAATCAGTCTAATAAGTTGAAGGGACCATATACCCATACTACCACAAGTTGGTTAGTTTACCCATCCCCGATACTACCTTCGGATAGCAGTCTACCTGTTTGTCAAGCAGGATTATACCAGACTCGGACTACATCCGAAGGATGACCATTCACGTATGACATACCAAGGGTATTCTTATTGGACCTTACACTGGCAGGAGTTTGGAAGAACTTACTCAAGTGACCATGAACCAAGGATTGACTCGAAATGACTTTCTAGAACTCAGGAATTATCAAATACTCCTTCTAGAACGAGATCATGCATTAATCCAAAAGACTGCGATTTAGTCTAATTGACCAATCAAGTTGCATGGTTGAGGAAAATGACTAGAAGAACGATCGAAGTACTGCGAGGCTCCGAAGGCATATCAAATGAATGTCAAAGAGTCCTGATGTAGAAAATATTGAAGAATACAATTAAATGAATACTATGTGTAACTCCCTTGATAGAGTATAGGCACAATGGGTGTCTGTTGAAAGAGAGAAGCAATTAGTTTAATCCAGATGAATCAGATTGATAGGATTAGAATCGAGGAGAGCTGATTTGCCTCCGGACGAGGTGACAAACGATCGAAGTAAGTGTTGAACAGCAATGACAGTTGAACACCATTCGAGTCATGCTCCAAAAACAATTAAATTAAATGAATATTGAAGTACCTACCTATGTTTGGAGGTATACTAGAATCTTGGAACCAATATGGACCAAATAAGGACATGTAGATTCAAATTAAATGGTATCTGACTGAGTGTAGAAGTTTCCTTGCGGTTCCGAACGTTTATTGTATTAAATTAATTGTACTATGCGACTCTATATTCTGTATGTATAAATAGCGATCCGATGTATCTGGAATACAAGTGATTTTGGGACGACGTTGCAGTGCTAATCCGTAAAAAGGAAAGACACACTCCCGCCAGACTGAAACCTCTTCGCTAGCAGCCATTCAGGCCCGGCACTTGTGAGTATAGGAACATTGTGTTCTGCTCCTTGTGACTGCGAGAAGTATATCCAGTTGTTGGGTATTCTTCGAACTTAGGATCAGTCGTTGGTCTTAAGGGCAAATCACGCTGTGTGGTTGTGCCAGCACATAGTTCTAGCCCTCCGTAGGGGTCTGTGTGTTTCGGTTTTAATTTACTTTGATTCAAACCCCAATTCTTGATATACCCAAATCAATACAACCAAAAGCACAAATTGTGCTGAATCTACCTTAATCAAAGGAATATATCGAATCCTTAGAACGATTCAAATTGATTGATCGAAGCTTTGTACTTAGCTCTCAAAGCTTTGCGGAACCTTTGCCAACGCTACCCCTTGCTATTAAATAAATTTGATAGCAGTGAACTCGCATATTGTGTATTAGATTGGTTGGTTGGAGTGCCCATTAGATTCCTTCCTTTCTCTTTCACACAAAAACGAGGCAAGCTCGTTAATGGGATGAAGGCAATCTAGGGACAGGGGAAGGTCAAGGCGGTAGTCTAAAGGCCCAATTTTCTCCAGAATATGATAAGGTCCAAGCTGCCGGTCTCCTAGCTTTTCCCTGGATAGCTGAAGGTTAATGTCCTCTGCACTGAGCCAGACTAGGTCCCCAACATTGAATTAATGAGCTTTCCACTTCCTGCATTCATATCTCTCCTTCTGTTGTTTCTTTCCTAGGTGTAAGGCAGCCCCGGCATCTTGTCATGCTTCTCGGAGAATCCGTATGCAGTCATCCACAGCTGGAATGCCGCTGCGTTGGCCAACTGGAATATTGAACAGGGGGAGATAGCCGTAGGTTAGCTCAAATGGGGACATGCCTAGGGCAGAATGGGTCCGTGAGTTAATCCATGGGAAGGTGTTCTGCCCAGTCGTCTTGTTGCCGTCCCACATAGAGGCGGATGTATTTCTCCACTTCCTGATTTGCACATTTGGTTTGGCCATTGGACTGAGGATGGTATCCGGAGGAGATTTAAAGTGAAGAGGAAGACCATGGAGGTGGAAGATCTCTCAATAGTAGATATGTCGGCTGTGATGGAGCTGGTGCAAGGAATAGCGTAGATTTGTTTTCCATACAGGTCTGTGCAGACCAAGACAGTGTCGTAGCCTTGGGAGTTAGGCAGTTGCATTATCAGGTCAACCCCTACCTCTTCCCATAGACCGGATGGTACATCCAGTGGTTGAGTCACGGCCTGTGGGTGATGTTGGATCTTTTTACAGGCACAAACCTCGCTTCCCTCAATGTATTTCTCCACAAAAGAACGCAGTGTTGGCCACCAGAAATGGGTACTGACCAGGTCGAGTGTCCTGTGTAGTCCGGGATGTCCAGCAGTTGGATGGTCATGGCATTGACGGAGTACCTCAGTGCATAGGTCGTCATCTGTTGGCATATATACTCGGCCTTGGTAATGGACCAACCCATTGTCCTCTTCCCATTCAGCTATCCCATTGGCCAAGTGCTGTAACCCGTGCCTCTTGACTGTTTCCAGGTCTTCCAATACTTGTGCTTCCCGTTCTGAGGCTTTCCGGATACGATCCTCTAGAGGGTTCCATAAGATTGAAGCTGCAATTTTGATGAAGTGGCCAGGTTTAAGGACGGTTTGTTGCCGGTTGTCATCACTGTCCGGTACATGATGAACTGCCATGCAGGAAAGATCATCAGCTTGGGTGTTTACTCTGCCAAGACGGTGGATCAT